CTCTTGTATTGGTCGACGGGCTATGGTCTCTCTGTTTCGTTAGTCCACAGCTAATTATCATCTTGCTGCGAATTAATGCAGCAGTGTGTGTTATGTCTTGATTTACTGTTTCCATGTACACTGTTCGGTATCTTGTAACGAGTATTTAATATAGTAGCAAATCTTTTTGACTTCGCCTTTTTTACCACAGCTGCATTGCTGAGGTCGTTCCAATAACCGCAGTTCTGCATGCATCTATGTGATAGGTTAGCAGTTGGGAACAATTCCACTGACCAGGAACTCTTTCATTTGCGTGAAAGCTTGAACGGAAGCCCAGGTAGATCGATTCAGCCAGAGGCGCTGGTAACAAATATGGAAACGAAAACTGCAACCAGAGTTTCGACAAAAGGTGACAAGGGATCAAAGGCTGTCAGCAACAGTTATAGCAGACCAGTGAGATGATTCGCACTTCGCTAGTGTCATCCTGGCTTTGCAGTAAGGCGTCACTCAACAGGGCGTGAGCGGTGAGGTTTGTTCCTCGTGCTCATCAAGATGTTGGTCGTAGGCAGAACGTCGCCAAGTAAACCTTAAAACAGTCATTCTGGTCGAAGATGAAGGTAGTGTGATTTACAAAACACTAACAATTATATCACTGTCAAAATTTGCACCCGAATTTTTGCATCCCATTATTTGTTATTCTAGTGAGTCTGCTCTAAATAAAATGCGGTGTATATGTTATTATCTGTTAAGATCATACCTGAATAGATCTGATATAATGCTCACGCACAGCGCTGGCAGCAATGGGAAGATAAAGAGAACGCGGCAGGGCCTCTACATCGGAGAAAATAGGTGTGCAGAGCACCAGCGCAAGCAATACTGCAAGTTACACAACACATCAATCTTCTTCGGGTACCAACTTAGTAGATCCTTCAGCTCCAACAAGGCTCAGGTGTCAACATCAGGTGCTCTAATGGAAATATCAAGGGAGTATAACGCGCTAAAACAAGACTGTGCCAGAAAGAAAAAATAACTGTCAGGATCCCTACAAGGTTCAAACAATGAGCGTAGAAACACAACTAAGAACAAATTCGCAAATTAAAATCACAGCGCTTCTGGAATGTTCCTGATATAGGGCAGGGTTTGTGATTAGAATCCAGGCGTGTGTATCACTTCTGATGACTATTAGTTTGTGTGAAACGATCTGTTGTGTGTAAGCTTGTACAGCATCTTATAAGATGTGCAGTATGTATTTACGTTTCTGCTTCACACATTTATTGATATGAATAGGATTGTGACAGTGCTCAAGAATTTGACGTTTGTAGCTATTCGAAATGAGTATCCGATTTCCTCGATGTCTTGCATAAAACAATTTATCGTTGTTGTAATAAGGCACAACTTGGAGTGTGGGTCAGGGATTCTTATTTTTCTGTTTCATTAAACATTTTGAAGAGAAGAGCTGAAATTTCCGCGCCAACGGTGAGCAAATGCAGAA